CATGTGGGGTGTGCTTTTAAAATTGGACTTAAAGAAAAAAAAAAGCAATATATCGCTTTGTTATCATTGCAATTTATCGTGATATATCACATCAAAACCTCTGAGTGTTATGATGTGCATATCACATCACCACATTCTTGTCAATACACACCCCTACCCCTCACTAGACAGAACAACACTAGAGATGCTGCCTGGTAAAGTTTCAGCAATTGGAAAACGGGCGAGGAGCACTCATTTGGATAGCAAATCGTTGGCAAGAACTTTGATATCGAATCGATGATGACCCCAGGAGGATTACATCACGATCACCAGATTCATTCGAACAGGGCTCTAGAGTGCGACCAATTTGGTCGCAAATGGACCAGATTTCCTAATAGTGCGACTAAAAAAATGTCCAATGCGACCGAGGGGGAAGGGGAGCAGTAGCCCGCTGAAACTAAAAGTTTTCATCATGTTCCATAAAAATAATCCAGCAGTCTCAATGGTCGCCCGCCGACAGTCTCATCTCTCCTAATAACACTGCACTCTGCTCGTGGGCTCCGCTCCACACCTCCCGTGCACACAAGTTTGTTGTTCTCTCCTCCTCATGGGGACTTTGCATTGGCTTCCATTCATTTCCCCGTCAATTCTACAGCCAACCATAACCTCCCAGGTAGGCTACACACCTGACCCAAACCCTAACCTCACCAGGCTGTGTGTACCAGGGAAATGGTCAATAATTGTACCCACCATGAAGCAAAAATCTGTACACACACACACACACACACGCACGCACGCACGCATTGCGAAACAACCTGTGGGTTTTTTTWAACTCAGATCGGAGTCTGAAAAACAGTTCTTTCTTGTTAGCTGGAGATGAAAAGATGTGGACAGTTGCTCGCTCGTCTATCTTGTTAATTTAACAGTCGGGGTCTGAGCGCTGCAGATCATTTGAGCAGGACGAGGAAGCTCACGTGTATGGCAGGCCGCTTTTGCACTTAATCTACTTCACTACAGTTACATTCCAAGTATCTGAAACTGGTTCTTCTGGGTCTCAGGAGGATAAAACTAGACATATTAGATATTTAAGTGAAATAGTATAAGATAATAAGATTTAACTAATGATGAAATTGCAGACTTTTATGTGTTATTTAAAAAAATATGCACAACCTTTTAATAAATATCACTAATATTTCTGTTATTAATCATTAATCTCTGTTCATCATTCTGGTTTATCCAAGGCCAAAGATCCATAGTTGTCCATCTGAGGGGCATGTGTCTAAAAAAAACTTAACCATGAAATGTTTAATATGTTTATAAGACATTCTGCCCTTAAACTTAGAATTTTATAGAATCACTTTAAATACTTTTCAGTAAGTTAAATGTCTACAATTCTGGTTCAAATATATGTTTACTAGATTGTTAACTAATTATTTTCAAGTTAATATTGCCTTAATGAACAGTGATTAAAAAATACAACCTGTAAAACTCTGATGTTAGGCGATGTGGTTGAAAATTTGGGTGCACCTAACTTTTGTGCTGGTGCGACTAAGAAAAAATGTTAGGCGCACCGGTGCAAACAGTGCAAAAAGTTAGTCTAGAGCCCTGTCGAAGCAAAGAACTTGGTCAACAGATGGTCTTGAGTGTCATTCAGGCAGGGTGTTCTACTACTCCTACCAGGATCTTGTTTTAAAAAATAAACATTTCTAGGTGGTCGTTTCAATAAGATAATCGAGGTTGACATCCACCCAGCTAAATGCAGTTATTTGGTTGGAAACAACTAACAAAAAATACATCTACTAAATACATTCATGGCATGAAACTTGTGTTTTAACCTCCAGTTTTGCCTTTATACAAAAAGAAGTCATCCAGCCAGCTGTCAATAAACATGCACTTTAACCTGCAGCATCACTATCCAACAAATGTCTGAAGGAAGAGAGGTTTTAACAACTTTCTGTGGTTTATTTTTATGTAATATCAGTGTTTTGAATTAAGATACTCTGATAAATTAGAACAATTATAGCACATAAAGTTCCTTTTTAAAGAATATATTACCGGGAAGTTCTTTTTAATTTTTTTCATTAATTAATTAATTTATTTGTTTGTTTATTTGTTGAATTTCACAGATTTCCCCCCTAAAATCAACATTTCATTCAAAGGGAATATTTATAGGATCATAGCTCATGTCATACTGATTGATGATTTGGCATCCTAGAAGGCAACTTGTGACCTATTATGTTCAAAGGTTTTCTATTGCTAGTGACAGTCATAGTCATACTATTTATTTTTCATATTTGATCATTTATGAATTATATTTATCCCAGTTCAGTTAGTAGTGTAGCTTTAAAAATAAAAGTTTAGCACATCCAAACAGACAAAACACCTCTTTATTATTAAAACATTTTGTAGAATTAAATTGTTCTTCACGAGTTTGAGGGAAAATTAAATTTAAACTTAGACAAATGTCTTTGCTGTGATCTGGAGTCTACAAATATTCATCTTTTAGCATTAATAAATGTTTAATAACTAATGCAGCAGCTACAACTTCTCTCTCACCATGAGACACACAGGATGAGCGCACTCCCTCTGTGACATGCACTCTCTGTCGGACCCAAAGTTTGGCCACGTGCTTAAGTTGAATATGTTTACGTACCACAGTAACGTAAAATGTTCACGTGTATTTGGYCCGGTGCGCTTTCTATATTAAAATATCAACAACGCTCTGAACACAAACGTTTAACACAATTGGACTTTAGATACAAAAGGTCGAGGCTTGCTTCTGGATGGGTAGGAGTACACAGGTAGCTCCTTAGCATGTGCAAGTTGCATGTCTTTAAAATAGCTACGAAGCTCTGAACACGTTTAACCAGGCGTTTAACACAAAGTTAGACTTTAGATAAAAAAGACCCCGGCAGGTCTGGGCTCGGTTCTGGATGGGTAGGAGTACACAGGTAGCTCCTTAGCATGTGCAAGTTGCATGTCTTTAAAATAGCTACGAAGCTCTGAACACGTTTAACCAGGCGTTTAACACAAAGTTAGACTTTAGATAAAAAAGACCCGGGCAGGTCGGGGTTCTGGAAGATGGGCTGAAGTAACGGTGACACAGCTCAGCTACATGCTCGGCTGCAGTGAACTGGTCATATGTGAACACATACGTTTAATGCTTAGACATTTAATAATGTATTGCATAACTTTATCTTCATGCGAGGCGGGTGGTTCTGGTAGTGGGTCGAAAAAAGAATAAAAGTTCCTTTAAAAAGTCCGAGCAAGTGTGTTTACTTCACCTGTGGTTCTAAAACTGTGCTCGGCCAGCAGGACCCGCCCTGCTCTGCTCTGATTGGCTAAAACTGTGACTCTGGTTCTTTCATTGGTTGAAAGCAGCGTCAGTTAATCCATCACAACACAACTTTGTTTTTTTCTTTTCTCAACAGGAAATGCGCTGCAGAGACAGCCGGGGGAGACGGAGAACTTTAATCGCTTCTGCCCGACAAAATTTAAGGCCTTTGAGTAACAAATTTAAGACCAACTTGCACATTTTTTATCAAATTGAAGACTTTTTAAGGTCTTAATTTTAGATATGTAAATTTAAGACTTTTTAGGGACCAGCGGATACCCTGTTGATGTATGAAGTGTAAAAGAGTGATGTTTGTGGGAATAATAAGCGTTTGCTGCAAGGGTTAGGCAAAATTGTATTGTGTGCAATTAATTATCAGGACAACTGTCAACAATGAATATTCACCACTTTGCAATTACTGAAATTAGTGCCAAACGACATATTTGTTTGCGACACTGTCACTATCAAGCACGCATGTGAGCCCAATGATGGAAGGCGGCGTGAAGCAGCTGACGCCAACCCTACAAACTTGTTTAATCACCTAAAACACCAACATAAACTGGAGAACGAGTAAAGCCAGGAAATGCAGACCAAGACCACAACGTTGGCTACATGCATGTGGAACTGTCATCCAATAATCGTCATATTAATCGTTAGCGGCTAAATGTCCCAATTAACAGTGATCATTTTATTGCCAAGATAAAATAGCTCTGTATTCGGTTTTGGCCACGTGTTTTGATGTCAAAGCAGTTGAACGGGACGCAAATCAACAATAATGATGGGAACAACCATATGAGTACTCAACATTTACAGTTTGTACCTTTGATTACTAGTGTGAAACTAAAGGTGTAACAATACACCGATCCACATTGATGAATCAATTAAATGATTCAATTACATCGAGACAAAACCAAAATATCAATTTATATTGTCATATGACAATCTGATTGTGTTAGATGAGCATATATTGCATTGTATCGATCGCAAACTTCTAAACTGAACTAAATAAAAACAGTATCACGATCATCAGCCAAACGTTGTGATAAAGCTGGTGATTCACACCCTTACACAATACTTGGAAACAAAAATTATTTAGAAAGCACAACTAGATTCACAGTTAAAGACCATAACTTCAGGATGTATAACCAACAYTGACAACTCATCTCCAAGTCTCCCCAGCTTGCCACCACTTGTTGACAAAGCATACAGAATAAACACGCCATCTCCCCTCCATCAACCAGTCTTCAGTAAAATATCTCCTGAATGAAAGCTGGCATTGCTCTGCTTGCGCAGGTGCAATCTCTGGAGGGCAGGTGCTCACGACGGGAACAATCGTTGCAGGCGAGGGGGTTCAAGAAAGAAGAGCAGAGGAAGCAACACAACCAAAACCCACAAATGACAGCTGCTGAATTAAAAAGGAGGGGGTGGGGGGGTTGTGACAAACTCCTCAGTGGCAGCTGTAGGCAACCTGGATGTGATGGAAGTTTGATCAACACAGTGGCCTCACTGAAGCTTCAACAAGCTCTGAAAGGCTCCAGATTGGTGTTTGTAATCTGGAGTAGTAATCCAGCAGTGCAGCTTCCAAGCAGAGGGGAGCGGCGAGCCTCACATCCTGCATCTTAACGTTTGTAAACACTTCCCACATGCTACCTGAGAGGAGAGAGGCTGCAGATGCGCTGCTACTCACCGCAGGTAGTACTGTTTTAAAGCGAATGCGGCGTTGGAACAACTCTTGGGAAAGTTAAACTCCTCTCCTAGCTCGGCCCATTGGTTTTTGTCAGAAACCTGTAAAAAGGGAGAAAATATGAGGGGGTAGTAAGTTTCAAAATGCAAACAAAATAATGAAAACATCGGCAACAACAACAAAACAAGAGGGGTGACAGAGAGCTAGGTTACCCCAATCTATCAGAACCCTCTTATTAAGTTTACGGAAATTGATTAAAAATCGATAAACCTGGTAAAAACGTTAACTAGTCACGCTTATAATACTCTTTTTTTCTGCTAACTTGCTGTACGAGTTTAAAATTTGACAAAATAGTAAGAATTAAAGTACCATAGTAGGACAGTATTGTTACAGTTTAAGCTAGTTAGCCAACAAGCTAACTCCGACTCATTTCCATTTAAGCGTTAAAAACCGCACGAGGACAAACTACGGCCAACCACCGCCCGCGGATACAAACAGCTCGCGGCGACAAGCTAAGTTCTGGAGTTGTTCCGTGTCGGTACCGTCCACCGTGTTCACTACACACACGGGCCTGTGAGGCCTACATTCTGTGACCAGCCATGGAGCCCAAAGAAAGATAGCTATGGCGAGAATTTTAAGCTCCTCTCCGGGGTTCGAGCGGGTCGGCAAGAGCCCGTGCCGCGCGCCGGCCGGGTCCCGCGCGGTGCTCCTCCGAGGCCGGGCTGCGTGCCGATAATCGATGGCCAACCGTGCCCRCTAATTTTTGAGTCGCTCTCTTGAACGGCGCCGCGACTCCAGAGCGCTCCGGACTCCTGCGATTCAAAACCCCGCACAGCGAACACCCGAGCCGCCACACTGCATAGACAGAGACACGGCAAAAAACTAGCACAAGGCCAACGCCGAGCCGCTTAAAACCGGAGGGGTTACACTTGTCCCGGGGTTACCCGCTCCGAGTCGGTCCGGCGAGGAGTCCACGGAGTGTGGAGAAATTCCACTTTAGTTCCCACTCACCTTAGCAAATCCACCTAAAGAGACGACTCTGATATAGAGAGCATTCAGGTCCAGCTCTTTCCCACCCACGATAGGAATCTTCTTGAACGGCGACCTGTGGGGATAACACACGGAATAAAGGCACACATGTTCAAATAACACTTTGAGCAACTCGCACGCTCGTGCAATTCGGATTTAAAGTTATATTTCTTGCAGGAAAAAGACGCCCCGATCTCACCCTCTGCTTTGGTGAAATTGCCGCAGCTCGTCCAGGAAAGCCTGTCCTTTCCTTCGCTGATCTAGTAGATTTTTCCCCGTCGAATTTGCCATGGTTTTTGCATGCAAAAACGGTTAAACCCCACTTCGGTCGCTTCCTAAGACACCAAGGATCCCATACTCCGCCGGCGCTCAGTCATTCGCCGAGCCGAGTGTTTAAAAAGTTAAAGAAATAGCTGGTAGCAAAGGAGAGCGGCAGCTCGCTAATAAAGACTGATGCACACAGAAAGCAAACCCGATACAAGCCCTGGACTAAGTTCCAGCGAACAGTCCCAAATACGCCCGATTTACCGGTAGATTAGAAGCGCCATGGCTGAAAGTGTTGAATTACTGCTTTTGGTCGCGGCTGTATTCGTTTGGAGTGGTTTGACAGTGTGGTACGGACGCAGCTCCGAGGCTATCGCGCACACTGTGGAGCGGCAGAGGGATCCAGTTCTCAGACAAAAAGATGTGAAGGCCGCGGAGCCCGACCTGCCATGCGCGCAGCGCCCTCTGCGGCCAGCGGCGGTAACTGCAGGCGGCCAGGGAGCAGCGCGACCGCTCCGAACAATAGAGACCRTTTTTTCTCCTGTCAGGGACCGTCCGACAATTCCTGTCCTCACCGACTGGGAAACCGGGTCAGAAGGTTCTTGGAAACGTCCCGTTGGGGGGCTGGGGTGTGTGTGTGTGTGTGTG